TTTTCTTTGTTGTAGATCCCCATCGTTAGCTCACTGCTCCACCACGACAGCAACCAGATGGAATTACGTGACCTACAGCCAGGCACTGAATACATTGTCGATCTGGTGTTGTTCCCTCACGAGAATCAGTCTACAGAGATCTCCAACACTAAACCCATTAACTTTAGGACACTGCCTGAAGAAGGTATGGGGATATTCGTGTTTATATTGCTGGTCCATTGATACACTTTTCCCGGTGAATAGTGTATGAATTTACCGTGGATCCTATCAGTGTATTTTGTACTCTGCCTGTCTCAAAATATGTTTATATTGAAGTCCATATGGCCTATTACCGCGCGGTTATAGAAAGGAGAGAATGTGCATGCCACGAACTCTTCACGGGGAAAATATGTTTTTTGAGCAGATTTCAAATTCCCTTTCCAGATCCATATGAATTTGAGATCGAGGTTCACGCCGGCAAGGTTTCATCCCAGACGGCCGAACTGTACTACTCGGGCGTGCCAGACCCGGAGGAGAAATACGTCAATGTGTTCAGAGCAGTGTACGTGCGCGAGGACGAGCGAGTCGACGCCCAGACCTTCAAGATTCCCAAGACGGGTCAGGAGAAGAAGATCTTCCTCGGCGACCTGAAGCCTGACGTCGAGTACAATGTGTGGTTGGAGGCTTACCTTTCCAACGGCCGGAAGAAGAAGAGCAACGTGATCCCCATTACCACCAAGGCCGGCGAACTCCCCAAGCCGGAGAAGAGTGAAGTTGGTAGGTCATTTTGGCTTCATAAGGATGTAATGGATTTATATCGTTCATGGCTGAATTTTAATGTTTAGTTTTTATTTGTGTCGAGACGGTGCGTGTTATTCACCAACATTTTTTTCCTCTCATGCTGTTGAGGTTCATATTTCCCCAGGTTTTCCAAAATTAGCTTTGAATTCCATAGGTTTCAAAAGAAAGACAAAAAATAGCAAATACAGTGTTGACCATACCTCACTCAGTTATGACATCGATAAGCAAAGCCTCGGACACCTCCATGCACCTCAAGCAGGCCATCCAACGCCCAGATGATGAACAAAGTCCCACTCTTTCTAACTAATGCCCCTCCGCCCTCCCCCGCCCCTCCAGACCCCTCGACGCAGGCCGACGGGGAGAAGGACGGGTACTACGCCGCCCTGGTCGCCGTGGCCATCATCGCTGCCATCGCCTGCGTGGGCTTCCTCGGCCTGCTGGTGATCCTCCTGAGGAAGCAGAGCCATGCCAAGGCCCACATCAACTCCTCGAGAAACAACGCCGCGTATGACAACCCGTCATACAAGGTAGGGGACAATGTAAGTATGCCGACTAACTCTGCTTCCGTATTAATCTCTAGACGTTTTTGAAGGCACAGCCAGTAGCGTCGTGGGAGTAACTGTTTGGGCTCTCGTTCTGGTAAATCTTGTGGTGAAGCCTTTGTGCGTAGATTTGTACATCGAAAAGGCTAGATGTAGTTTAAGGTACACTTGTAAAAGGGGTTTTAGTTGTGCTTATTGTAATTGTGTGTGTGTGTGTGTGTGTGTGTGTGTGTGTGTGTGTGTGTGTGTGTGTGTGTGTGTGTGTGTGTGTGTGTGTGTGTGTGTGTGTGTGAGAGAGAGAGAGAGAGAGAGAGAGAAAGAGAGTGTGTGTGTGTGTGTGTGTGTGTGTGTGTGTGTGTGTGTGTGTGTGTGTGTGTGTGTGTGAGAGAGAGAGAGAGAGAGAAAGAGAGTGTGTGTGTGTGTGTGTGTGTGTGTGTGTGTGTGTGTGTGTGTGTGTGTGTGTGTGTGTGAGAGAGAGAGAGAGAGAGAGAGAGAGAGAGAGAGAGAGAGAGAGAGAGAGTGTGCGCGTGTGCGTGTGTGTGTGTTTGTGTGAAATATGTGTGTGTGCGTGTGTGCGTGTGCGTGCGCGTGTGTGCGTGCGCGTATGAGTGCGAACGCATCTGTGTGATTGTGTTTGTCCTTGTTTAGGTGTGTGGATATACAAGCATACACATACACATAAACATGTGGCTGATAGAGTATTCATGCAAGGAAGGATAGTACAAGCTTTTGGAAATGTAAATAGGCTATATACACAAAATTAAACGTGACTGTATGCATTCACGTCAGACCGTAAAGAGTAGCTTTGCTTTACGCTTTATAAATTTGGCACTGGTAAAGCCTGCAATGTTGTCCAGCTTCATTGCATATTCAACAAAGAAACAAAAACAACCCCCTTTGGCTAAACTGATTGTAGTGCTCACTGTATTTTAGTTATTCATCTTCTGTAGCTGTAGATTTGAATTGATCTTCCAGTATTTTTTAACTCTGATTTGAAGCTAATCATAAAATCTAGAAGTTGTTATAATTAACTCTTACCTGATTCAGTTTGCTGTCTGTAGTTATTTTCTGAATAAATTGAAATCTTGTATTTCATTGAATTAATAGAAGCATGAATTTGCACTACAAAATAAATAACAGTTGAGTATGTTACTTACATGGAAAAATTTACAAGTAGC